TATCAGAATGTTGTCGCTACGTTGTCGATGTCAAGAGTGTCAACATTCTCTCAATGTTGATAGCTAATGTTGCAATGACATTCGTAGAAGTGTCGCAGCAACATTCCAAGTGAAAACATTGAAGCAATGTTTTCTCAATGTTGTACAGCAACTTGCAACATAGAGCAACATAGGCAACATTTTGAAAACGTTTCATCAACATGCTGTGTTACTTAGGTAGGTCCTATAGCGAACCCTATAGGTCCTATAGGGAACCCTACAGGTTTTATAGGGAACCCTACGGGTCCTTTACAGAGCCCTTTGGGTCCTATAGGGAACCTATAGGATTTCTTTAGGAATATATAGGAATCCTATAAGACATTTTCGTAAGGGTTAGTAAACGAGATCCTCCAGTTTGAAATAGGATGATACCGCATGTTTATCCTACAGTACGTGAGAGTAGTGTGAAAAACTATCCTGCTCGTCGGCTTCATCGCGCTGTTCGTGAGCGTTTTCAAAGAAGTGAAGACGATAGGTGTTGTGAAGGCCCCTTACAGAAATGTTATATAGGAAACCTATAGACTTTCCTATAGGTTTTTGAAACACGAAAAACCTATAGGATCCCTATAGGACTTCTTACCTATTGGATTCGGGGAGGATTTTTTGGGTGTTGAAACCCAGACAATACGAAGGAAAAGCCGACCGGGGTTAATATTAGCGCAGCATTTTGGTGTAAATCAATTACCGATTAGGTGTTTTCCCATGGTTAAGACACTTGCAATATTTATACCAGTTCTGCCCAGGTATGTTTAATTCATGGTCCCGCCACATATACGCCGATGGTTCACGTTTCCACTTCCTTCGGTAAAAAGAAGCATTATTATTCTCTAACCCTAAGGAAACAGAAGACAGAACCTGCGAGCTCCCCCTCTTTCCTGAAACTCCATTCGCACTCTTTCTCGTACGTGATTTTCAAAGGGAATATAAGCATATTTCTTACCTGGACTCCATGATTTTATCCGGAAGATGGGGATGACAAATACGGAAGTGTCGCACTTTATTGATTGCTACGATGAGGCAAGGCGAGACATTTGAAGATGTACAAAACTCTCTTGTGAGAGATGGTAGGGTAAGGGTAGGGCACTTTTGTGTCCTTTCAGAAATGCGAGAACCCAATACCTCCATCTAGTGGCCAAGAGGAGAACTTCAAACGGAACCCTATTGGCCTACAGTATAGGGTTCCGTATAGGCCCCATAGGGAACCCTATAATTCCTATAGAGAATCCTATGGGTCCTTTTAAACCTTTCGAACCTTTCAGGTCCTATGGGGAACCTTACTGGTCCTATACAGAACTTATAGGCCCTATGTGGAACCCTATAGGTTCAATAGGGAACTCTATACGTACCATAGGGAACTCTATACGTACCATAGGGAACTCTATACGTACCATAGGGAACTCTATAGGTTCTATAGGGAACTCTATACGTACTATAGGGAACTCTATAGGTTCTATAGGAAGCTCTATACGTACTATAGGGATCTCTATATGTTCTATAGGGAACCATAACTCCTAAACTGAACCCTATGGGGCCTTTCGGAACCTATAGGAATCCTTTAGGTTTCCTATAAGACATATTCGTAATGGGGAGCATGTCATTCTGCAATTTTTCATTTTGACCAATGGAAATCACACGATGAAACTGCGATAATCGGTTTCGGAGGCCATGTGGACGCAAGTGGCGACAAACTCATGAATCGCCCCGTATTTCCTCGCGGACGCTTGAAATCTCTCAATTCGCTACAGCAGGCGGGAGGCACGAGCGATGCCACCTGGCGAGTTCTGCGCCAACTCGCGTCTCCTCGTTCCAAGACGGCAAGACGAGAGCGAAACCCCGATTTTTCGTGGAGTTTGCCTGCTTTCGTGAGATCATTATTTGATTTTTAATTTCGCAAAGGCACATCCACATATGAAAATGAAGTTATTTGGTGAAACTCCCAGGCAATATCTGGAAGCGTATGGCCAGTAGAACTGTCACACAAGCGCGCGACACTTCGGAGTGGTATGCTTTCGAGAAGGAAAAGTCCAACGACATTCACGAAACTTAATAAGGGAATTGAAATGGACATACCCTAAATTCAGGAATATGTATATCTTCGAAATGAGCTTCATGTGAAAACCACGGCAGAAAACCATTGAATGTGCCATTGAAAAAAAAAAAGAATTTTTTTAACCTCTGATGCAGGAACTAACAAATGTTTAATTGTTGCCCATATGACGTAGCGCTTTTAGGATTTTGCAAGGTCGAGTGTTTTGCACAGATTCATGGCGTGGTCTTGTAGCTAACATTCCTGAAATACTTAACATTTTCATTTGGGTATGACATTGGACATGGCTCACTACTTTTTTTTTAACAACGAAAGGGAGGTAAAGAGATGGATTTCGGCATAATGGAGACTCTTTTATCACAATTTACTGTGCAGATTCAGAATCTCCGATCTCTCGGTTTTCCTATCGGTACTCTCAATTTTGATTAGATATTTCTGGAAATGTTTTCAGAAGAGAAGAATATCAGAGTGGTGGATGGGAAGACAGAGAGAATTACTGAAGATCGTGAGGGGATATTCGCCTTCCTCAAGAACAATGGAATGGGGAAACATGTTTTAGTTGACGAAGTTCCTCTAACATTAGGAATCCAAGGTCACATGGATGAACGAAGTATAGAAAAGCACTGGGAAGAGGTTTTCCTTCTCAAGGATCACGTGAAGAGTCTTACATTATCGATCCGTCCAAACGACTCCACGTACACCAGAGATGTAAATCTCCAAAACATAAGAATCGCAGGCGTCGCCATGGACGTCCTGACCGTCGTCAAGAGAAACACGCGATTCGTCTCGGATTTGTTCTTGGCTCTTGGAAACTACTCCCGCCGAGTTTTTGTCGTCCTGGAACCAACTATTCAGGACATGGAATTCGAGAGATCGGAGAAAGAATTGCTGCCAATCCTGTTCCCCATCCCCTCATGCTCGACCGTGCATAATTCATGCCAAAACAAATTGACCTGCGAAGCCATCAGATCCTCCAAGGCCATACTCACACTCATGGAGTGTAACACAATCGCTCTAGGAAAGATTGTATACGTAGTCGTGGATAACAGAGAAAGACGAGATCGTCTGGCGAACATCCTGCCACGTGTGTGCAGCAAGATCGTGCCAAGTGTTAAATTCATTGACTCGTCCGGAAAATTACGTGAAAAGGAAGCTACCTCTTCCTTAATAGTTGTTACCGACGACCAGATTCGCGGATACCACGATGACAGCATCATCATCTTGGACCTTTCGGGGTACAAATGGAGAATTCCGAAACGACTTCAAAGGTGAGATGAAACTTAGCTCTTTCAGGCAAAACCTTAAACTTATTAGCAGTTAGCCAAGTACCGGCTCTAACATAGGCTCCAAAGGCTCAAAGCCACATCTTTCACGGTAGATGTATTCCCCGGGGAAGGCAGAGCATTGTCACCAGAGCGACCTCTTCTGATCCTTTCATACATTTCTTTGAGGATTGCTGTTCTCGGGGGCGTCCTTTCGTCATTGAGACCCAGAGGTCTCCCCCAACATAGGTTTTCGATCGCACCTTAACTTTGCGTCGGAAAACGTATTCAGTGACAACTACATTTAACCGGTTTGCAACAATCCTTTGTAGTTTTCGTAGTCGATAATATAATCAATCCTGGTTGTCGATTCTGCATTGATTTATAGACTTCCAACTTCTCCAGTGCCAAGTGAAAGTTCTGCGTGATCCCAAAGTAACTGAAATTCCATCAGAAATCGCGCATCGTAGTCGAAACTGGTCGAAAATCTGGAATCATCCATTGTGACCATGGTCAGCTTATACCAGATGTCAGGCAAGCCAAGACCTGTAGAGCTATCAGACGAATAAACACATGAACATACACTTGCCGCTCGGCCTAGTTAGCGGGCAGGATCGCGCTCACGACACGTTAAACCGACTGACCTCCATCACTAGTAGTAAACGAGATCCTCCAGTTTGAAATAGGATGATACCGCATGCTTATCCTACAGGACGTGAGAGTAGTGTGAAAAACTATCCTGCTTGTCGGCTTCATCGCGCTGTTCGTGAGCGTTTTCAAAGAAGTGAAGGCGATACGTGTCGTGAAGGCCCCTTTACAGAAATGTTCTATAGGAAACCTATAGACTTTCCTATAGGTTTTTGAAACGAAAAACCTATGGGATCCCTATAGGGTCTTATAGGACTCCTTACCTATTGGATTCGGGGAGGATTTTTTGGGTGTCGAAACCCAGACAATACGAAGGAAAAGGCGACCGGGGTTAATATTGGCGCAGCATTTTGGAGTAAATCAATTACCGATTAGGTGTTTTCCCATGCTAGGGACACTTGCATTATTTATACTAATTCTGCCCAGGAATATTTCATTTATGGCCCCGCCCCACATACGTTGATGGTTCGCGCTTCCAATTCCTTGGTAAAGAGAAGCATTATTATTTATTCGATCCAAGGAACCAGAAGACATAACCTGCGAGCACCTATCTTTACTGAAACTCCAGTCGGATGGAGAATTCTTTTTCTCGGACGTGATTTTCAAAGGGAATATGAGCATATTTCTTGCCTGGACTCCATGATTTTATCTGGAAGATGAGGCAAGGCGAGACATTTGTGGACGTATAAAACTCTCTTGTGAGAGATGATTCCTTGCGTAAGAGTAGGGCACTTTTGTGTCCTTTCAGAAATGCGAGAACCCAATACCTCCATCTAGTGGCCTAGAGGAGAACTTCAAACAGAACCCAATTGGCCTATAGGGTTCCGTATAGGCCCTATAGGGAACCTTATAGTTCCTGTAGAGAATCCTATAGGTCCTATAGCGAACCCTTCAAGTCCTATAGCGAACCCTTCAAGTCCTATAGGGACTACGGGTAACATACAGACCTAATTACCTACGGGTAATATACAGAACCTATAGGCCTTATTTGGAACCCTATTGGTTCTATAGGGAACTCTATAGGTTCTATAGGGAACCATAAGTCCCAAACAGAACCCTATGGGGCCTTTCGGAACCTATAGGATTCCTTTAGGTTTCCTATAAGACATATTCGTAAGGGGGAGCATGTCATTCTGCAATTTTTCATTTTGACCAATGGAAATCACACGATGAAACTGCAATGATCGGTTTCGGAGGCCGTGTGGACGCAAGTGGCGACGAACTCATGACTCATGATGTATTTCCTCGCGGACGCTTGAAATCTCTCAATTCGCTACAGCAGGCGGGAGGCACGAGCGATGCCACCTGGCGAGTTCTGCGCCAACTCGCGTCTCCTCGTTCGAAGACGGCGAGACGAGAGGGAAACCCCGATTTTTCGTGGAGTTTGCCTGCTTTCGTGAGATCATTATTTGCTTTTTAATTCCGCAAAGGCACATCCACATATGAAAATGATGTTATTTGGTGAGACTTCCAGGCAATATCTGGAAGCGTATGGCCAGTAGAACTGTCACACAAACACGCGACACTTCGGAGTGGTATGCCTTCGAGAAGGAAAGGTCCAACGATATTCACGAAACTCAATAAGGGAATTGAAATGGACATACCTTAAATTCAGGAATATGTGTATCTTCGAAATGAGCTTCATGTGGAAACCACGGCAGAAAACCATTGAATGTGCATTGAAAAAAATAAGAATTTTTTTTAAGCTCTGATGCAGGAACTAACAAATGTTTAATTGTTGCCCATATGACGTAGCGCTTTTAGGATTTTGCAAGGTCGAGTGTTTTGCACAGATTCATGGCGTGGTCTTCTAGCTAACATTCCTGAAATACTTAACATTTTCATTTGGGTATGACATTGGACATGGCTCACTACTTTCTTTTAACAACGAAAGGGAGGTAAAGAGATGGATTTCGGCATAATGGAGGCTCTTTTATCACAATTTACTGTGCAGATTCAGAATCTCCGATCTCTCGGTTTTCCTATCGGTACTCTCAATTTTTATTAGATATTTCTGGAAATGTTTTCAGAAGAGAAGAATATCAGAGTGGTGGATGGGAAGACAGAGGGAATTACTGAAGATCGTGAGGGGATATTCGCCTTCCTCAAGAACAATGGAATGGGGAAACATGTTTTAGTTGACGAAGTTCCTCTAACATTAGGAATCCAAGGTCACATGGATGAACAAAGTATAGAAAAGCACTGGGAAGAGGTTTTCCTTCTCAAGGATCACGTGAAGAGCCTTACATTATCGATCCGTCCAAACGACTCCACGTACACCAGAGATGTAAATCTCCAAAACATAAGAATCGCAGGCGTCGCCATGGACGTCCTTACCGTCGTCAAGAGAAACACGCGATTCGTCTCGGATTTGTTCTTGGCTCTTGGAAACTACTCCCGCCGAATTTTTGTCGGCCTGGAACCAACTATTCAGGACATGGTATTCAAGAGATCGGAGAAAGAATTGCTGCCAATCCTGTTCCCCATCCCCTCATGCTCGACTGTGCATTATTCATGCCAAAATAAATTGACCTGCGAAGCCATCAGATCCTCCAAGGCCATACTCACACTCGTGGAGAGTAACACAATCGCTCTAGGAAAGATTATATACGTAGTCGTGGATAACAGAGAAAGACGAGATCGTCTGGTGAACATCCTGCCACGTGTGTGCAGCAAGATGGTGCCAAGTGTTAAATTCGAACTGAGCAGGCCTTTTAATGCACTTTTCCTTCGATGGAGAAGGAATTATCAACAATGGCTGCTGGTCTAAGCGCCTATGGTGCTACTGTCGTAGTAGTAGAACCTGGAAAGCCCCATGTTTACCTCAAGCTATCTCCGCCTGATATCGTCCTGCCACGACAATGTCACCATCGTCATGGAGGAATTGCAAACAGGGAAATATTTTGAGGTGATTGCAGCAGTGTATAATTCAGCAGAGGATAGGATAGTGCCAGAATCAATGAGGGAAAAGTTGAGGGAAGGGTTGATTGACTTTTTTGATATGGATTGGAATGATGTGGAACGGGATTTAGAAAATCCTCGTGATAAGGCGTTTCTTCAAACAAGTCATTCGTTCCAAAATATCAAATGGGACCCTGCTCCATCAATCCTGGATTTATGTTCTCCAGCTTCGGAGAATCGATCAAAATTGATTATTATGTTCGGACCACCTTCTTCAGGCAAGAGCATGGCTCTGTTGCAATATATTCGCAATCTTCCTCAGAACTGCCAAGAGCAACATCGGACTCTCCTGGTTCACATGGGAAGTGTTCTCACTTGGCACTTTTCCTTGCATTTTCTTCGAGATTGTAATCGAATGGTGGATATTACTCGATCTACGGTTTTGTCCCCGAAGGACATTATTGACCATGAGCGAGTAGAGGAAGCTAGGTGGAAAAATTATCCCGTTAAAGTGCACACGCAGCTACTAATAAGGTAGGTCCGATTATCATGTCTCCTGCTCTAGCTTTTGACCTTCCTTCAAGACTTACTCAACTTCTCTCTCCTAGTCTTTGAGTGGAACTGGCAGCAGAAGGTGTCCCATTCGAGAGGCGGACGAGAGATCTCCATGAAGGATCTCGCTTCGTTTTTCCAAACACAGGGAGTGCAAGTGATAAAACACCCCGGATTTAAGCCCATCGGCAACACGAGCAACTTGCTCCTCAGGCATCTCTGCGTGAACGAGACGCGCACGGGATTGCGACTGGAAATGAACGTGCTTCCTACTGCGTCCCGCACGGGCGCCTTGGTTCCCGGCTTCAAGCCCAGGCACGTCACTTTAAAATACAACTGCCCCGGTCAACATCTGGGTAAAATGTGCTTCGGACAGAAATATTGCATGCCCTATTTAGGTGCCTTTCGATGCTTTCGCTACACTCTGTCGCAAAAGATAAGTGGAGAACAAATTTACGTGCTGGTCTCAGACCGGAATCTCATGTCTTTCCTGATGTGGTTTGATAAACGCCATGCGAGAGTTGCTGAAGAAATGCAACTAGTGTTTGTTCACCCTGAAGATTTTCGAGGATGCGAATCCAGTGTTTCCATCGTCGTTAATGTTGATGATCACTGGCTACTGGAAAGCATTTCAAGATCCCGGACGAATCTGTTCGTCATCGACTGCTTACCGCATCATCAGGAAGTTTGGTCCGACATGAAGGAAGAGGGCCGTCTTGATATTCTGGAAATGCGCGAAGATGACGAATGTATTGACGAAGAAATTCTTTTCAAGTTGAACGCTTGCGGAAACTTTCTGTGAGTCCGAATCTCCTCTGTGTCTCTACTTGTCCGCTTGCACAATGCAATATATTTATTATATATCCTTTTAAACGTTCCCTTAAATCTTCTGATCGTAATTCCTGAATTTTGGGGTAGATTTGAAGCTGAGTCAATCTTTCCTTTTAACAACGTAAAATAGGCATAATATTCGAGGGAAAGACACGTAATCCTCCACGGTACACATGAATCGTGCTCCCATTTAGACATGACCTTTATTCGGTCACAACTTCAGAGTCCGATTACATTTTTTCGACCGCAGCTCTTTCACTCATGTATGCTTCCCTTTTTCTGTCATTTTTGGAGGAACTGATTAATATAAGAAACGTGATGTAGTTCTCTCCTTGGAATTTCTAAATCTTACCCACTTAACCATTCCAGATAATTCAAACTTAAAATCCGACCATTTATAGTCAGAGTTTTGAGCCATTTGGTTCGCCTTACTCAAAGTAACGCAAAATTGCATGGTCGAAAACAGTTGCCAACGTTGACTCTCTAATAAAGGAAAACCTTGGCATATGTTAAAGATGGAATTTGGCTGGGGTGGATGAAGGGGACTTTTGGTCGAGTCCCTTTTTGACAGGGGAATGAACAATGTGGAGGTTTGATCATTGCAGAGTGATTCGAGTTATGGCTGGTAGCAGTAAAATTTATTCCTAAAGATGTCCTTCACTTTCTCAATGGGGAGGTGGCTAAGCGGGACCAGTGGGAGAGAAAATAACTCCCAGGAGTACTATCTTAATACTATCTTCACATTTTCTGCGTCAACGACCGATATACATAACAGATACCGACCTCGAAGGGAAATCATTTACCCACAAAATGGATATATGGACTCGAAATATGAGTTTCGAGGAATCAATTTAGAAAGGTGTTGGGTTCCTCAAAACCCTTACGAAAATGTCTTATAGGATTCCTATATATTCCTATAAGAATCCTATAGGAACCTAAAGGAATCCTATAGGAACTTAAAGGAATCCTATCGTTTCCTATATGCCCCATAGAGTTCAGTTCGGGACCTATAGAGTCCCCTATAGAACCTATAGAGTTCCTCATAAGGCCAATAGGTTCCCTATATGACCCAAAGGGCTCTGTAAAGGACCCGTAGGGTTCCCTATAAAACCTGTAGGTTTCCCTATAGGACCTATAGGGTTCGCTATAGGACTTATAGGGTTCCTATAGGGCCTTTAGGGTTCCCAATAGGACCTATAGGGTTCCCTATAGGATCTACAGGATTCCCTATAAGACCTATAGGGTTCCCTATAGGACCTATAGGACCTATAGGGAACCCTATAGGCCTATAGGGTTCCGTTTGAAGTTCGCCTCTAGGCCACTAGATGGAAGTATTGGGTTCTCACATTCCTCAAAGAGCACAAAAGTTCCCTCCCCTTACCCAAGGAATCATCTCTCACAAGGGAGTTTTGTACGTCCCAAATGTCTCGCCTTGCTTCATTGTAGCAATCAATAAACTTCAACAGTTCCTTCTTTGTCATCCCCATCTTCCAGATAGAATCATTGAGTCCCGTGAAGAATTATGCCCTTATTCCTTTTGAAAACCACGTACGAAAATGAGTGGACTCTATCCAAATGGAGTTTCAGTAAAGAGACGTGCTCGCAGGTTCTGTCTTATATTTCCTTAGGTCGAGAGAAGAATACTACTTCTCTCTACCCGAAGGAAGTATACATGCAATCCAGCGACATGTGTTGGGCGGGGTCATAAATTATGCAGACCCTCGCAGTACTGGTATTAATAATGCATGTCCCCCCTATCATGGAAAAGCCCCTAATCGGTTTTTGATTTATACCGAAANTTCACGTGTGCGTCGATGATTATTCCATCCAGGCTAATAGTACAGAGGACGAGATCGAAAACTGGAAGGAAGTTCTGAATGAGTTGAAGAGAGAGGATCAGAAACTCACCTTGACCGTCGTCTTCCAATCCCATTCGAGAGGCGGACGAGAGATCTCCATGAAGGATCTAGCTTCGTTTTTCCAGACACAGGGAGTGCAAGTGATAAAACACCCCGGATTTAAGCCCATCGGCAACACGAGCAACTTGCTCCTCAGGCATCTCTGCATGAACGAGACGCGCACGCGATTGCGACTGGAAGTGAACGTGCTTCCTACTGCGTCCCGCACTGGCGCCTTGGTTCACGGCTTCAAGCCCAGGCACGTCACTTTGAAATACAACTGCCCCGGTCAACATCTGGGTAAAATGTGCTTCGGACAGAAATATTGTATGCCGTATTTAGGTGCCTTTCGATGCTTTCGTTACACTCTGTCGCAAAAGATAAGTGGAGAACAAATTTACGTGCTGGCCTCAGACCGGAAACTCATATCTTTCCTGATGTGGTTTGATAAACGCCATGCGAGAGTTGCTGAAAACATGCTACTAGTGTTTGTTCACCCTGAAGACTTTCGAGGATGCGAATCCAGTGTTTCCATCGTCATTAATGTTGATGATCACTGGCTACTGGAAAGCATTTCAAGATCCCGGACGAATCTGTTCGTCATCGACTGCTTACCGCATCATCGGGAAGTTTGGTCCGCCATGAAGGAAGAGGGCCGTCTTGATATTCTGGAAATGCGCGAAGATGACGAATGTATTGACGAAGAAATTCTTTTCAAGTTGAACGCTTGCGGAAACTTTCTGTGAGTCCGAATCTCCTCCTCTGTGTCTCTACTTGTCCGCTTGCACAATGCAATATATTTATTATATATCCATTTAAACGTTCCCTTAAATCTTCTGATCGTAATACCTGAACTTTGAGGTAGATTTGAAGCTGAGTCAATCTTTCCTTTTAACAACGTAAAATAAGCATAATATTCGAGGGAAAGACACGTAATCCTCCACGGTACACATGAATCGTGCTCCCATTTAGACGTGACCTTCATTCGGTCACAACTTCAGAGTCCGATTACATTTTTTCGACCGCAGCTCTTTCACTCATGTATGCTTCCCTTTTTCTGTCATTTTTGGAGGAACTGATTAATATAAGAAACGAGATGTAGTTCTCTCCTTGGAAATTTCTAAATCTTGCCCACTTAACCATTCCAGATAATTCAAACTTAAAATCCGACCATTTACTAGTATAGTCAATGAGAGTTTTGAGCCATTTGGTTCGCCTTACTCAAAGTAACGCAAAATTGCATGGTCGAAAATAGTTGCCGACGTTGAGTCTCTAATAAAGGGAAACCTTGGCATATGTTAAAGATGGAATTTGGCTGGGGTGGATGAAGAGGACTTTTGGTCGAGTCCCTTTTTGACAGGGGAATGAACAATGTGGAGGTTTGCTCATTGCAGAGTGATTCGAGTTATGGCTGGTAGCAGTAAAATTTATTCCTAAAGATGTCCTTCACTTTCTCAATGGGGAGGTGGCTAAGCGGGACCAGTGGGAGAGAAAATAACTCCCAGGAGTACTATCTTAGTACTATCTTGACATTTTCTGCGTCAACGACCGATATACATAACAGATACCGACTTCGAAGGGAAATCATTTACCCACAAAATGGATATATGGACTCGAAATATGAGTTTCGAGGAATCAATTTAGAAAGCTGTTGGGTTCCTCAAAAGAGATGGTATTTTTTCTGGTCGCAAAGGTTTTCCTACTCAAAACCAGCTCCCTTTTCCCCAATAAAGTGATACAGCCCAACACTTCATCCGAAGCCATTCGTAATAATGTATTGACTACGCTGAGAAAGGAAATTATTTCTGCTTCATCTAGCGGAGTGAGCCCAAGATTCGTTACACGAGAGGAATGGGAGGCCCGACGGCCGAAATCCACTACAGATATGAAAACCCCAGTTCCTTTCGTCGTGATATCTCATACTGCAACTCTCCCGTGCTTCAACATCAACGATTCCATCCGTATGGTGAAGGAAATCCAGGACGAGCACATGGACACGAATAAATGGGATGACATTGCATACAGGCAAGGCATCGTGGGAGTTTACAATTAAGTTTTATACAATTATCTCATGCTCCGAAAATTTGCAGTTGATTCAAATGTTGAGCGACTTCCGCTTCATGACCTTAAAATGAGGCCCGACGTTCTCATTTTAAGAACGAGCGGGTAGAAAAGAGTGAAGATTTTGAGCTTGGCCGGGATGCGGTTCGCCTCGATAGGAGCGATATGACCGATCATCGGTCGTTTAGCGAGGTCGACAATCGAGTTTCCGGTCGGGTGCGAGCGAGTAAGTAATCTGAGACCTCGAGTTCTGAAGCTGA